TGGCACAGGTCTCCATGTGGCTTCTCCAGCTCTCTGAGTGTCTCTGGGATCATCATGACTTCAGGAGCCAGATCTACGCAGAGAGAGAGAATATATTTCCAACCAAGCCTTATTTACACTCAGGGGGTGTGCAAGCCCCCCCCTAATGATAGGTAACCACATGCGTGAGAGGAAGGGATTGTTCAGACTGTAACTCTTAACCAGAGTGGAAAGTCCCCTCTTTGTCCTGAGGAGCAGCGGGTGGGTTCAGACTTGTGGTTAGCGGCCACCATGAGACTCCTCCAGCACCAGGGCTCCTCTGAGGCCCTTAGACTGCAGGGTTCTGCAGAGGTCCCTGGAAATGGAGGCCGTGGCACAGGAAGCCTAGGCTAAGCCGGGAACCGAGTATCTGATGGAAGCCCTAGGCCCCTTTTGCAGGGACGGCTTCCTCTTCTCACTTAAACTCTGGGCAGTCTGCGGGAGGAAAGCTCAGCCAGCCAGCATGAAGTCACTTTGACTTCAACTGGATGCAGAGAGGGTGCCGTGGCCTCTGGGTCAAATGAGACATAGGAGGGCCAAGCCCCTGGGCCAGCGTTATATGCTTATTAGAAAAAGACTCCCTTTGTGGTGTCCTAAAAGTGAAATGGGCTTGTTTTCAGTTGTGTGTGTGTGTATTTTGCAGCTCTCCATTTCTTCAATCGGCCGAGGAGAACTAGGGCATTACATCAAGGTGGAAGAGAAGCAGACGCAGGGAGACTTCCCCACTCCTAGTTCTAGAGGTTTTGGTACCTTCGGTGGCAAAGCCGACTTGCTTCCTCTGTGAGAAACTTGGGTTTCCTTTCCAACTTCCTCTGTACTTCTGTCTGCCCCACTATTTCCGAAGACCTGTCTCCTTGCACTCCACTCTCTCTGTTGTCCGTTCTACTCACCACTTCTCTTCCACAACCACAGCAAACCAAAACATAATCTGTGACCCCAGGGGCCAGAGTTCATCACAGAGACACCTGGATAGGGCTTCTGCAAGCCAGACACCACAACCTTCCGGTCGCACAGGCAGCAGCTGGGACCAGTGATACCATCTCAACGCCTTGGGTTTTCATGTGTGGCTGGGTCGTTCATTTACATTCCGGCTTCCGCCGCCCCACCATGCAATCTTCCGCTCTCTGAGACTGGTTTATCATGTGGATTTGCTAACAGGCCTGCTAACACGGCATCTACATTTCTTCTACAGTGCCCACCTGCCCATCCTGGTGAAGCGTAATTACGCACATCCTTCTGAGTCGAGGAGCCTTGGGGCTGGAGTGGTTACACATTGGGCTGCTAACTGTAAGGTCAGCAGTTTGAAACCACCAGCTGCTCCTCTCAGGAAAACAAGGCTGCCTGCTCCCATAATGAATTCGCTCCAGCTGCCCAGAGAGGCCGTTCTACCCTGTCCTACAGGGCTGCTATGTCGGAACCAACTCTGTGGCAGTGAGTTTCCTTGGCTTTGCTATTTCTGAAACAAGAGTTATGCTTTGAGGCAATATTAAACTTTTGGAGAGCTTTCCCAGAAATATCCACCTATTGCAAGGTCACCAAGCCCCAAGCTAAAGACCCCTCCCTGCCTGTTTCAGCAAGTCCAGATATTATATTCTTTAGGATCCTTCCAGTCTCTTCCGCCCATCCCCTAATCACACCCCCAGTGCAGCTTCCATCTTAGTCCTACACCGAGTGGAAACCGCCACCATGTCGCCTTTGACCTGCTGCCTCAGTCACTCCCAAAAGCCATCAGAGGGCCTGGTTGGAAGGTGTGCTGCGGCCATCAGCCTCAGCGCAGAGCTCAGCTCTGAACCAGCAGCCACAGGAACAAACGTCTTCTCCCGCCTGTTTCTCACATCCTTTTTCTGATCGCCTTCTGGCTCCGCTAGCTGTCTCCCACACAGAAGCACCCTAAACAGCAGCCAAGTCCTGAGAGCCCATTAGCTCCCAAAGCCTGCCTTACCTGGGCAGCTGCTGAGGGAGGGGGGAGGTGAACATCTGCAGCCTGCCAACTGTGGACTCCAACCGAGAACCTCGCTGACATCTACTTTCACTTCATGTGTCAAAAGGGAGCTCCTGCCCCCAATGATGCCCACTCAGAAAACCCCCCTAATTCTTCAGAATCTGTCCACCTTGGTTCTGCTGATCCGGAGCCACGTCTAGGAAAACGATCTTCAACCGATGTTATCAGGCATCCTCTGTCTGGGAAGAGAGGGGCCGCCCTGTGGCCTGTGGCTGCTGACCACAAGGTCGGCACTTTGAAACCCCGCTGCTCCGCGGGGAGAAAGGTGAGGCTTTCTACGCCCTTCAGGAGTTCCAGTCTCAGAAATCCACGGGACTGTCCTACCTGCCCTACAGGGTGGTCCTTGGGAGTTGGAATGGACTCCAAGAATGTGTAACAACTGTTCATGACAGCATGTTCCAAGCTGCTCAATTTCCATCCAGCCCTCCGTCCCTTGCAGTCCCCACAATGCCAGCGAGCACTGGCTCTACCCGTCCTGGATCGTCACCCACCAGGGAGGGTGGGAAAAGCAAAGGGACCTCAATGACAAGCAGATGAGACTGGGTCTTGGAATTACCCTTTTTCTGATGCGTCCTGATTTCACCCTAGTCACCTGAGGATTGAAGAACCTTCGTAAAAGAACCTAACCACTCGCTGAACCAATGGGAAGTGAGGGTGAACTTACTTTTCAATTCGGAAATAAAGACTTGCAATTTTACTGATGGACTTTACCCCACTCCCACGGAAAACAACATCTTTAAATAGGACTTTGTTGATTTCTTTAGTCATGTCTTTCCTTTAAATGAAGGACAACCATTGGATTTTTTATGTAACTGCCACAATCAGCTTCTTACCTACTAACAAGACTTTACTTAAATCTACACAGCCCTTTAAAACTAAGGTCCTTGTAGGGCCAGCCCCACCACGAGACACAACATCCCTCACTAAACCATAGCGCTGCGCGGGACAGCACTGGAGACACAGTGCGGGAATAGCGCACAATCTCACTCCATCACACTGGGGTGAAACACTAAGGGCATGCAACAGAGCAGCAAGGGGAGCAGTGATGAAATGCCTGGGCAGTACCGGAAATAGACGTTGGAGACAGAGTGTGGCATCCCATCAGTCGACTGGGAAACATTCATAAAGGCCAACAAATAGCCTTGAACTATTTATAGGCTCTTCCATTTTTGTCAGTGTTTTTTGGTTGTTTTTGTTTTACTGTTTTGTTGGTCTTGACTTCCTTTGTGTTATTTGGCTTTGCCTGGTTTTTGCACTTATTAATGTCTACCTAGATAGGCAGGATAAATAATCCGGAGATGAAAAGAACAGGGACCACTTATTCTGGAGGGATACAGCAGGAGAGGTGGGAGAAAAGTGGGGTAGTGGGCACCAACCCAGGGACAAGGGAACAAGTGAACTAAAATCGATGGAGAGAAGGGTGTAGGATGCCTAGTGGGGCTTAATCAAGGGCAATGTAGCAGGAAGGAATTACTATACCCGAATAGAGGCCAAACATGATGGTGGGACAAGAGGAAAGTGAAAGGAAATAGATGAAACAACCAGGAGGCAAAGAACATTTATAGGTCTACACACAGGCATGTACGTATGTGAATACATATATAATGAGAGGGAAATACAACTATGTACTCATATCTATATGTAAGAAGTAAAGTTGCTGATGGACATTGGGCCTCAACTTGAGTATTCCCGCAACACAATACTTTCTAACAATCCAGCATTCTGTGATGCTCACCTTCCCCACACGATCACTGAAGACAAAAGGTGTGCATAAGCAAATGTGAAGTAAGCTGAAAGTGCCCGGCTATCAAAAGATATAGCATCTGGGGTCTTAAAGGCCTGAAGATAAACAAACGGCCATCAAGCTGATAAGCAACAAAGCCCACATGGAAGCACACTAGCCTGTGTGATGATGAGGTGTCGATGGAATCAGGTGTCAGGCATCAAGGAACAAAAAATCCTATCAATGTGAATGGGGGTGGGAAGCATGGAGTGGAGACCCAATGCCCATCTGTAGACAATAGGACATCCCCTCACAGAGGGTCACAGGGAACAGATGAGCCAGCCAGGGTGCAGTACAGCACTGATGGAACACACAACTTTCCTCTAGCTCTCTGGTGCTTCCTTTCCCCCTTTTATCATGACCTCAATTCTACCTTCCAAATCGGATTAGACCAGAACATGTACACTGCTACAGATAAGAGCTCGAAACACAGGGAATCCAGCATAGATCAACCCCTCAGGGCCAACAATGAGAGTAGAGATACCAGGAGGATTAGGGGAAGGTGGGGGGAGGAAGGGGAAATCGATCACAAGGATCAACCTATACCCCCGGCCCAGGGGGATGAACAAATGAAAAGTGGGTGAGGGGCAATGGAGGACAATGTAAGATATGAAAATAATAATCTATAACTTTTCAAGGGTTCGTGAGGGAGGTGGGCGGGTGGGGGAAGGAGGGAGATAAAATAGGGAGCTGATATCAGGGGCACAAGTGAAGAGAATGCTTTGAAATGATGATGGCAGCATATGTGCTTGACACACTGGAGGTACGTATGGACTGTGATGAGATGTAAGCGCCCCCAATAAAAGTATTTTTTTTTAAAAAGAGAGAGGGGTACACGGGTGTGAGTAAAAGTAATGGAGAAGAGTCTGCAGCCTCTACCCATGTAAAATGCCCTTTAAGATGTAACTACTAAAAAAAGATGTAACTGTTGACACAATGTATGTCTATATTGTGATTAGAGCTGTATGAGCCCCCAATAAAATGATTTTTTTTTTTTTTCCTTTAAGAAGCCGATACCTTTATTTCCCCCCTTCAGCAGCATGGGAGCAGTGGCTGGCAGTGGCCTCCACTAGCAGCAGTCTGCCCTGTTGAGAAGCCGGATCTCAGTGGCACCAGTCTGGTGTTTTCTCAGCCAGCAAGTGGAGAATGTGATGGCCAAGCCCAAGTTGTGGTCAGCACTGGGCAAGTGGGCTAGCTGCCTGACCCCAGTCTGGGCCTGGAGCTTCTGTTTGCCTGAGTAAAGGGGTGCCGGTCCCAGGATCTCCCCCGCCCTGGGCCTTGCTGTGGCCCCAGTGGCCAGCAGGCTGCCTTGAGTGGGCGGGCCTGCATGGGCTCCAACAACAGGTCCACTGGTGGCTCTTGTTGCTCAAAGCTTCCAAGAAAAGCTGCCCTTGGAGTTCCTTGCGACCACGCAGGGAGCTGAACGAGTGTCACAGTCCCAGCTGACATTCCCGCTCACACAGCCATCACAGAGGCTGAGGGAGTGGCCACGCAGGGAGGGGGGTCCCAGCTCATTCCGTTCCCGTGGGGCAGGTGACTGGAAGGCAGCAGCACCCGGGTGAGCCAGTGCCTCCCCGTGTCCACGCCCAGGAATACCTTCCAGTTGTCCACACAGCCGTCGTTATATGGATTCTTAAATGCTCTGCCCTTGGCCTGAAGCCGCCGTCGCTCCTTCTTGTTGATGTGCCGCTCGATGCTCGTCTCCCCTCGGCTGATGAGAACAGCGTGCCAGGCAGTCAGGGCACCCAGGGCGAGTGCCACAGAACTGCACAGGAACCAGAGGTAGATAAGACTCTTGTGAGTTATCCTTTCTCGAAAGGAGAAGGTAGGTGGTGGGGTCTGGTGGTAAGTCTCGATGGCAGCATAAGCCTCCCGGAAGAGGCCCCAGCTCCCGTAGCTGCAGTAGACACAGCCCAGCGTCATGAAGAAGCAGAAGGAGAAGAAGTACCGGTGGTTATAGTGGCCCACACAGTTGTTGAGCCAGGGGCAGTGGTGGTCCATCTTCAGCACACACCTGTTACAGATGCTGCAGTGGTGCGTCCGCCCGGCTTGGGGTAAATGCACTTCTTACAGATGGAGACCGCGGCAATGTTGTTCCTGCCCTGGGGTGGGTATCCGGGTGGTGTGGTGATGGCCTGGTAGTAATGGAAGACGATGAGGATCAGATTCCAGTAGCTGTAGAAGTGCCAGCAGAGCTGTGGCACCGAGTAGGTTTGCAGGATGAGGGGCAAGACGCACAGGTAGGCGATGGCCACAATGGAGCTGGTCAGCACGACCACCAGCACCACAAACACCACCCCGAACCAGCGGATCACGTTGTCCACCAGCCAGTAGACCTGCTCAAAGGCAGCTTCGACGGCCGTGTCGCTGCCCCCAAAGGAGTTGTACATTAGGGAGCGCAGGCAGACCTTGCCATAGCGCCAGCGCTGGACCAGGCCCCGAAGCAGGGGCGGGCAGCGACTCCGGTAGCCCAGGAGCATAAGCAGGCGCAGGCAGAGGCGGGCGGGGCCGAGCAGCAGGCCCCGCTGGCTGCGCATGTCTCCTTTTTCCTCAGGCCCAAGAGCAGCTGAAGGCAACCAGATAGCCAGGAAGCATGGCCTTCAGGGAGAGAGGAGAAGACCCACACTCTGCACGGGGATGAAGGGACGGCCCATCCCTAGCACCTCCTGCCGCCTCTCTCTTTAGCTAAATTCAGCCCCGCAGCCTCCGCCGCCGGTTACTGCCAGCCCCTCCAGCTCAGCGCCCCAGACGAGCCCGGATCAACCCGACACAGCGTGGCCCGCAGCCCGCAGCACCAGCCAGGGGACCCGGACCCACAGCCAGCCCATCCTGAACCGCCGGCGCAGGCGCAAAGCCCAATAAAATGATTTTTTAAAAACAAATAAAAAAATAAAACTAAGGTCCTCAAGAAGTTCGAGTCTTTTTAAAAATATGTAACTTTATTCTTTCACATCAGCGCTAACAGAGCACAAGCTGAGAAGACTTAAATATCACCATTTTATAGCTAAAGCCAAGGCATATTCAGAATAGATACAGCGGACCCTCCTCTTTTTAACTACAGCTCATCTGCTGCATCAGCAGTCCTTGGCTTGCGGAAGAAAATGGTAACGGGTAGGAAGTGGTAAGAGGGGCACATCTCAGGAGCCGAGAGCCGAGGGTGAAGAACACCCACAGTCAGACCTCGGCACGGCAGGCCTCTGCAGTCACCTGACTCCCGCCGATAGCGGGGCGAGCAGCGGGTTCGCTGAGCAGGGGAGAGGCTGCTGGAGCGCCCGGTCCTTTCTTCAGTGCCCGTCTAGAGCACACCGCAGCCCTGAGTCGCCCCACAGTGGCTAACGGCCTCTCCGTTTCTTCATTTTCCCTCCAGCCACTTTGTTCCTGACTCCAATGGCGCCCTCCGTGTCGTCGTTGTCCCCAGCATCCTCTCGTGAGCGTTTCTTCTTTTCTCCGTGCTCCCGGAGCTCCTAGAGGAAAACAGAGGGGGTGGGATAGAAAGCAGGTCCCTCGGTTCTGGACCTGGGCCCTTGAAGGTTTGGGACTTGAGACAGAATCTGGCCAGCATTTCCCTGCTTCTCTGGAAGTTGACAGTGTCGACATTCTTGAGGAAGAGTGTGCCGTGCCGTTTGACCTGCCAACTTGGATTTCTCAGGCACCGGATAGACTTGAACAAGGATAGGAGCCAAGACGAAATCCGAGCCTCGTCAGCCTCTGCATCTGTGAGTTGCGTTAGAGTGACGTGAAAACTACCTGAATGGCTGTGAGGAGCTAATGGGGGAGGGACGCAGATTCTGGTGCACGGTGATGGGAGAACACATCGGCCTCTCCATAGGACACCGGACCGATGGGTGGACAGAGGGAAAGGGTCTTGTCCTGGTGTCACTGTTTCATATGCTACTTCTTTTTTTTTTTTTTTTTAATCAATTTATTGGGGCTCATACAATTCATCACAATACATAGATCAATTGTGTAAAGCACATCTATACATTTGTTACCCTCATTATTC